GACTTTTCATATGCTTTTAGATAGCTTATAATACCACCACCACATGGGGATATAATTTAAGATTAAAATTTGATAAATAAAGTTCACGTTATTATTATTTCTATTTGTAAATTGATTTGATGTAACCAATCTACAAATAATTGAACACAACTAACTTCTCCAAAAGGGTATTTTTTTTTTTAATTAATTAGTCTCCAACCAAAAGAAAGAAAAAAAAAAAAAAATAGTGCTTTTTCTTAATTGGGTTTCAGTAGAGGCAAAGAGGAAGGAACAAAGGGATTAACTTTTAGTAAAGAAGATGTTTGGTTCATAATTTATGTTGACTTTGAATTACGGAATCTTGAAAATTTCCATGAAATTACACGGTGTTTTAAATGTTGTTGATAGCTCTACTTGAGGACTTATAAACTTTCTCCATCTTGACTTGACTATTTCTCCACCTACTAGTCCCAATAATATATATCTATGGGTCCGTCTGTTTTAATATCTTAGATAAGATTTTGAGGATAATATTGGGTAGTTGAATAGGAGAGTATTATGAGGTAGAATTTAAAAATTTATAAAAAATCCTGTAGGTTTACTAATTTAACTAAAAACCCCAATATATAAATTTTTTATAAAATGACAAAAACATCTCCACCCACCCACAGTGCCAGATTTTGGCCACCACTACCAGAATCTGGCCGAAAAATGGTGTTACGATGCAGACCGGTCGGATCTGGCGGGTAGGGCATCGATATGGCCTTTTCCGGCCATATCTGGCCGAAAAAGGCCAGATCTACGACCAGATATTGCTGTCGACGGCCGAAAAAGTCCAAATATGGTCGTCAGCTATGGCCAAAGATATGGCCGTCATTGACCATCAAGCCAAATTTGGCATTTTCTGACCAGATCCATAGGAAAATGCCAGATCGGTGAATTAACGGTCAATTCCGATCGTTTGTAGGCCGTTGTGACAGATTCCGACTACCACTGACAGTGGTTGCCGAAATTTGGCAAGAATGGGTGGGTGAGGGTATTTTTGTTAATTTTTTAACTTTTTTTGGGGGTATTTAATGAAATTAATAAACTTAAGGGGTCTAAAAATAATTAAAAATATACTAATATTTCTCAAATAATAAAACAAACAATATTTTGGGAATAGGATTGAGAATATGGGTAGAAATAATGTGTCAAACGGAGCCTATATATATTTTATGACAGGGTGTTAAGACGCGCACCCGAACCCTAGAAGTTAGAACTACTGGTTGGATAAGAGCTCTAGTGATCAACCTTATTATGGGTTGCAAGAACTCGAATAGAAAAACCATGTAAACTTATATCCTCTTTTTTATCTTTTAACGTTAAATACCCAGTAGTGGTTATCCCAATAATATTTATGTTGTACATTCCAATTTCCATTCTAATTCCTAATCCATACTAGTTATTTTATATTAAACTATTGAATTTGGCTCTAGCATAATGTCAAACGTCAAAACTTTGAAAACAACCAAATACATGGAAATTTGGAATCTCCCCTTAACCTTAAGGCTTAAGCCTTGTATATCGAGGTGGAACAAGTCAATGTTAAGGGAGTTGTTGTTGGAATTTGATTCATTTGAAAGTATATGAAAACTTAATTTAAGATTTCCTTTCTAGAATCTATTAACCTATTGAAATATTTCTGTATTTTCTTATATTTATCCAATAATATATGATTTGGTACATAGAAATTTCGTTAAATACAATTATTAGTAAGTCGGCCTAAATAACAAATATTTGTAGCAAAGTTTTTGTGGTTGGCTTATGCCACACCTAATGCTAAACAAAGAGTAATAATCAGGTAAACAACTTCAACCACTTCTCCTCTCTTCCCTCCATTAAAATATTCAAGATTGACGGTTAAGATGTTGTTCGTGTAAATATGTGGGTCCATTTATCATTGCATTGATTCTTACGTAATTGATCTATATGAGCGAGGTCAAGGACTCAAGATGAACCATTGACTTGGTTTAATCTTCACCCAAACAAGAAACCAGATTAATAAATTGTTAATATTTTTTTTAACAGAGTTATCATTCTATTAATTCCTTCAATTTATTTAATTAAGTACTCATTATCCAATTAATTAAGTTTATAAAACTTTGAAAACTTAACCACTATAAGAGAATTTTTCAAAATCCACGTTTTTCTCAAACTGACCCGCGTTTTCTCTCCACCCGCCACCCACCACCGCCGGCAAGGCAACATCAACAACAACCCCCCTCAAACGCATCCTTTGACCTCAAACATCAGCACACAAAACAGACACGCCATCAAACTCCATCACTCACACAACACACAAGCAGCATGGGCAACTGTAACGCTTGTGTGAGGCCTGACCAAGACTCCAAACGCCACCAGGAGCAAGAGAAACAGCGGAGACGTAAGAAAAAAGAGAAAGAACGGAGGCCAAACCCGTACTCCTCCCACTTCAGCGACCAGATCCTCTCCCCCGCTCCGATCCGTGTCCTCAAAGACATAATTCCTCTCAGTCACCGGACTCGCATAACTGACAAGTACGTCTTGGGCCGGGAACTGGGCCGTGGCGAGTTCGGCATCACCTACCTCTGTACGGACCGCGAGACAAAAGAAGACCTTGCATGCAAGTCAATATCCAAGCGGAAACTACGGACAGCCGTGGATATTGAGGACGTCAGACGCGAAGTGATGATAATGTCAACGCTGCCAAATCATCCTAACGTGATTAAACTCAGAGCCACGTACGAGGACTCAGAGAATGTTCACTTGGTTATGGAGTTGTGCGAGGGTGGGGAGCTATTTGATAGGATTGTAGCGAGAGGGCATTATAGTGAAAGAGCGGCTGCTGCAGTGGCCAGGACGATAATGGAGGTGGTGAGAATGTGTCATGAAAATGGTGTGATGCATAGGGACTTGAAGCCTGAGAACTTTTTGTTTGCGAACAAGAAGGAGAATTCACTTCTCAAGGCTATTGATTTTGGGCTTTCCGTGACTTTTAAGCCTGGTATGTGGATTTGTTTAGTGGTTGGATATCTTTTTATTGGTTGGTTCTGATGGGTTTTGTATTGGTTTAATTCTGGTATGTGGGTGGGATTGGATTTTGTTTTATTTTTTGAGCAGTTGTTTGATTTTGGAGCCTGGTTTTTGTTGCTTGAAGTATGTAATTTGTTTGTTTTCTAAGTGTTTTTATTTTTTATTTTATTTTATTTTTATTTTATTTTATTTTTTCATTTGTGCTGTGCGATTGAATTTCGGGTTTTTGGGTTTTGAGTTATTAGTAAGTTTTTGCTTATCTGTTGAGTTTGAGCTTTAGATGTGGACGATTTTGTTTTGTTTTTGCGAGATTTTTTCATGCGTTTTTGCTGAATTAAGTGATTGAACTTTGACAATTGGGTCCTTCAACTGTTCATGGGATTTTAGTTAATTGCTGAACAGGGTTTTGCTTGATTGTGTGATTTAGTTACTGGGTTCCTGTTACAGGGGACAAGTTCTCAGAGATCGTGGGCAGTCCATACTATATGGCGCCTGAAGTGTTGAAGAGGAATTATGGGCCTGAAGTTGACGTATGGAGTGCTGGGGTGATTCTTTATATTTTGTTATGCGGGGTTCCCCCATTTTGGGCAGGTAATTTGTTGCTAAATTAAGTTACTTGGTGTTGAGTTTTTGGAGGTAATGTTGATGATCAATGGTTGGATTAAATTGTGAAGTTGTTCCTTGGATGTTCTTTTTTCGCAGAGACTGAACAGGGTGTTGCTCTAGCAATTTTGAGGGGGGTCATTGACTTCAAGAGGGAGCCATGGCCTCAGATTTCGGAAAATGCTAAGAGTCTTGTTCGGATGATGTTGGAACAGGATCCTAAGAAGCGGCCAACTGCTCAACAGGTGCTTGGTAAGCCAATCTAGCCATTTCTACTTTTTCTGATTTTGTGCCTGAGTTTTACATTTTTCCATTCTTTTTGGAATCCTAAGATGCTTCTAGGTTCAATTTATGCATGTCTTGTCTGCCTGTGAATGTCTTGACTGCTGTGAGTGGGAGAGATTCATGTTTCCCTTTTCATTTTTTTTCCAGAGAAATGCTAGATGTACAAAGACTCCTACAAAGAGTTTTTGTACAAAGTGATATGGCAGCTGTCACAGCACTAGTTTTACATCAATCTTCTCTTTCTTTTCACAAACTAGTGGTGTGGCAGCTACTACATCATTTTGTACAAAGACTCTTTGTAAAAGTCTTTGTATATCTAGCATTTCCCTTTTTTCCATGAAGAGTGTTTTGTCTAATGATATTTTTACTCGATGTGGAACCAAGCCTCAGCTGACAGAAATTAATTTTTAACTTTATTGGACTGTTTGCTTGGGGTTTCCATCATACTTTCGTTGACAAAGTATGGCTACATATAGCTTTAGCATTGAGCATAACCAGGACATCGAAGTGAAAGCATGTGCACAATCACTTGAAGACACACATTTCATTTTTGGATTCAAAAGCTTCCATTGTTAACAGGAGATAATTTGTTCAGGATGTGGTTTGCTGGAAGATTGAATTTCTATAGCACATGGATAGTTTTGTTGAATTAGTTGTATTGATTTGGCTTTTCTATTCTTTTTTGGTAGAACACCCCTGGTTACAAAATGCAAAGAAAGCATCAAATGTCCCATTAGGTGATATTGTCAGGACAAGGCTAAGGCAGTTCTCTGTTATGAATAGATTTAAGAAGAAAGCACTGCGGGTAAGCATCTTTGATTTGTTTATTTTCTAGTTTTTGCTCAAGTTCCAAGTTCTATTTTAATCTTGGGCAATTCATTAATTTCTGCTAGTGATTTTACTTTGTTCTATCAAATACTGTAGGTAATTGCAGAACACTTATCTGTTGAAGAGGTAGAAGTAATTAGAGATATGTTTAAATTGATGGACACGGATAATGATGGAAAAGTAACATATGAGGAACTGAAGACAGGGCTTCGGAAAGTTGGTTCACAGTTGGCTGAACCAGAGATGAGGATGTTGATGGAAGTGGTAAATTCCTGTGGTTACTTAAATTCTGAATTGAGATTGCAAGATTCTTCATACTTTTAATGTCATCAATCTATTGCTGGACTGCTATATTTACATGTGTGGATTTATATCTTTCCTAATATAGTTTTTGCTACTCTTGAATTCATTACCCTGCTACATGCTTCCATAGTAGTGCACAGTTGAATGTGCTCTTCAATGTGTATGCTAAAATGAGTTTGGCTCCTCTTTTTGTTCACAATAAAGTGACCAGGGTTTACAAGTTGATCATATTAGGTGTCATATACACGTTTGGTTTCCAATAAGTGTGTGCATCCTCGCCACCTTGGATCACTAAATGAATATTGCATTTTATACATGTCAAAAGAGATATCTTTTTGTTGATTAGAACTTGGAGATTTTACATTTATTTTGTCAGTTGTATTATTTAATTATTAAAGTGTTCTAGTCCCTTCTGGGCTAAAGTTTACTACTAACAAATGGACCAAATTTACAACTTTTCACAATTCTGTTAACTTTTTTTTTTTTACTGATTATATCCGAATGTTCTAGTAAAAGCAAAGGTTTATAGTTATTGTGAAATTGAGTGCTTAATTTTTGTGCTAATATTATTTTCACTGTTAGTGACATTATTTTTGTTTTCTTTATTTAGGCTGATGTTGATGGGAATGGAGTTCTTGACTATGGAGAGTTTGTAGCAGTAACAATTCACCTGCAGAAGATGGAAAACGATGAGCATTTTCGCAGAGCATTCATGTTTTTTGACAAAGATGGGAGCGGGTATATTGAGTTAGATGAGCTGCGGGAGGCGTTAGCTGATGAGTCAGGGGAAACAGATACTGATGTATTGAATGACATTATGCGTGAAGTTGATACTGACAAGGTTTGATTTCTGTCCATTCATGCGCAATGTAATTATACTACAAATTTATTTTTTGTGATTCTTAACCTTTTGGTGTGTTATTTTTCACCAGGATGGGTGTATCAGTTATGATGAGTTTGTTGCGATGATGAAAACTGGAACTGATTGGAGAAAGGCATCTCGCCAGTATTCAAGGGAGAGATTCAAGAGTTTGAGCCTTAACCTGATGAAAGACGGTTCACTTCAGCTTCACGATGCAATGACCGGTCAAGCTATTGCTGTCTGACTTAGGGTGTTGTTGATTTAGTTTTGTTTGTGCCCTGGGGTATTTCTTTCCAGTTATATTTATACATACTATTCTTGGAGAGTATGGGCTGTGCGTGGCCCCTGGATTTTCACAAAATGTGAATTTTAAGTTGAAGAACCTTCCTGGAGGGGAGACCAAAGATTCTTTGGTACTAATTGGAGTTTGGTTGGGTTTAAGCATGCCGGAGAAGACTGCACATTGGTTAAGGTTGCTGCCACTGCCGGAGATCTTGACGGAATAAGTACTCTGAAATTCATGTGCCCGTATTTGATTTTGTATATATATGTAATGTCAAATGTCAATGGTGTTTGGTTTAACTTGGTTTTCTACCTCTGTATTTTGTTGATAAACCAGTTAAGAGTTGTTTATTGGCCTTGGCCATGTGAATTTCAAGGAATTTTCAATTTTCCTTTTACTCTTGCAGAATTTTGTCTATTGACTCTGTTATGCAATTACCACTTAATGTTCGTCCATTGTTCTACCTTTAATCATTCCAAAAGAAGCTCCACCTTTTATCTTGGATTAGTCAGAAAGTTTGTTTAACGGTCAGCAACTAAAAGGTTTCTCCTCCTTTCTTCAACTTTCTTATTGAGAAAACATTTCCTGTTGATTTTTTCCACAATAAATCAATCTCAGTTTTATCTTTCTCTCCAGACCATCAAACCTCTCAAGTCTCAGCACTATCAGATTTTCAAAGTTTCTCTTATTTTCCTTCATTTTCTAAGCAACCAAACAAGCCATACTAATATACTATACCAAAATAAACAAGCATCTGAAGCTCCTGAGAAGGGAAGAAGACCTCTTGAGAAGGTTGAATCACATTTACATTTCACCATGCATCCTTGGCTTGGCTGCCCTGCTACCAACCAAATTCAACGAGTCATGGTTCCAAATAGGTGAAGACACTTTTATGAATTTCCATCAGTTATAATGGGAACGAAGAATCGAAGAGTGTTATGAGGGAAATCCGAAGAGGACAATTCCCTATTAGGAGAGAAGATATTTAGATTTGTTCAATTTGAAAGGAAGATATTCAGATTGACTTAGATTCTAACTAAGGTAGCCGAAGATCGTGCAACTTCTTAATCCTACATATTTGAATCTTACCTCAACTTTATCATGTAAATGGGTGTTAATAAACCCATCAGAACTTGTTTCGGGCAATTGTTCTAGGAAAATATTTAGATTTGCTCAATTAGGAGATAGATATTTGATATTTAGATTTGCTCAATTTGTAAGGAAGATATTCAGATTGACTTAGATTCCAACTAAGGTAGCCGAAGATCATGCAACTTCCTAATCTTACGTATTTGAATATTACCTCAATCCTATATGTAAATAGGTGCTATATAAACCCAGAACTTGTTTTCCGGGGTTGGGCAATTGTTCTATAAAAAGATTCATCATTTATAATTCTCATTCAATAAGAGAAACAGTGGACGTAGGCCCAAGATTCAAACTTGCCGAACCACTTTAAAAATTGTCATTAATTGCATTTTTGCTCTTGAATCATTCTTTTACTACTTTCCATTCATAATATTTTCGATTCCACCAAAGTCAAAGAGATTTAGTTAGAATTGAAGTAATATCAAGTTCTTAGCTCCTAATATTCTAAACAAGAAAAAAAGATGAATCATTAATCAATGGTACACAATTTACTTTTATGATTAAGGGGGTTATTTTTTATTTTTTTATTTTTCTCTTGAACACTTAATATGATTAAATAAAGTATATATATATAAGCATAAATTGAATCATAAAAATTGAAAGATAAAAATCATTAAAATAACTTCGAATAAATTCAAAAATGCATTGAATAAAATTGAAACACTTACTACTTGCTAATCCAAATGTTTTCAAGAAGTAGCTAATGAGTGCGTGTTTTTACATAAGAGAATTTTCGGTACAAAAAATCATGCCTTGAATAAAATAAATTACAATATTTATAAACATTTAAGATACTATAATATCGCATGAATACTATTTGGTCACAAGTGTACTTTCTGTAGCTTCACATGAGCATTGTTTGATAACAAGTGGACTTCCTATAACATCTTCCTGTAAACATCACATGAGCACTATTTAGTCTCAAGTGGACTTCCTATAGCTTCACATAAGCACTATTTGGTCATAAGTGATCTTCTTGTAACTTCACATGAGTATTGTTTGGTGTCAATTTCCATAAGAATTTTGATAATTTTCTTTGGCAGTTCTTTTTTTTTGAGAGAGATGACGATTTTGAATTGTTAGGAGTAGATTGTATGATTCTGTAACAATCATCTTCATTGCTTTGGGCGAGATTGACAGAGGCACTAGAGCCTTGGTTGGGTTCTTCTTCATCTTCTTCTTGGGGTTCTTCTTGGAGTTGAGAAAAGATTGTCTTGAGATTGTCTTTGAGTTCTTGCTTTGTTTTAGCACCTAATAAGGATATTTTTTCTGTAAAAATTTGGCAATTTCAAGGGTAATTGCTTAAACGGCTAAGGTACATTTGACAAGTGAAGTTGATTTTTTTATTTGGACACATGGGATGCATCATATTTGTCCCACCATTTGACCTTGAATTTTCGGATCAAATTAGAGAGATTGCTAACATTTTGGACAATTTCATATTCCCAAGCTGCAATCCATGATAAATGGAATTTTGTTGAGAAATGAAGTGTTGGAAGAAAATTTGAATCGGTTTTGGAAACTTTGAATTTTGATTTGAACTCATTGAATCATTCTTGGACATTTAAGGGTAAATTTGTGAAGTTAAGCCAAAACGGTCCCACCATTGGGTAATCCAATTAGAAAATTTGAGCAAGGTCTTTATTTTGAAGTAAATCATCTAGGATTGTCCGTTATGAATATTTTGAAAAAAGAGTGATCTATACTAGGCCTTTTCATAGTCCTAGCAATTATATCCAAGTGGATCAAAATTTTGGGAAAATTTTTTAAATTGGTTTGGATTAGATCCCCAATCAAAAACCAAGGAGCTTCATGATGTGAAGTGTTGAATGAGTTATAAATCTTGCATTGTTTTCATCATCTTAGTGTTTAAACTCACAAGAGTCTAATTAACAAGAGTTTCATAAAATTTGTGAGTTTTTCTTAAATCCTCATGGATAAAATGAAAACCTTTTGGAAATACTTGTTGAATCAATTGTTTTAGGTTTTCAAAATCTTCAAAAACCAAACGATCTGAAATGATTCCTTTTAAAATATATTTTTATCCAAGTTTGGATCCGATCTTCATTGGTTGGGCTCTAAAAAGAGCTTGTTGAGGCTATCTCTTTTACTTTTGATTGTTGGGCTTTTTCTTGGGCTACTTCTTCACATACCATGTTTTGGTGTTTTTGGGCATTAAAGGCCTTCGATTGTTTTTGGATGGTTGAAGAGTTGGGTTTTTTGGGTGGCATGGTTAGCTCCCTGGAGAAATTCCTTGGTGAAGAAGTTGGAATTAGTTTCTCCTTTATGTATTCAATGTCAAAATCAAACACACATAGAATTGCTTGCCAACATGCAAAAATTTATTTTGATGCAATATTTTGAACATATTTTTGCAAAACATGTTTAGTAGCTTGACAATCAATAAGAAGCAAATTTTTTTGATTGAGTAAATCACTTTGAAATTAGGAAATGCATAAGACAATGGATAAAATTTCTTTTTTTTATGGTGGAATATTTTTGTTAAGTTTTATTTTAGAATTTGTAAGTATATTGGATAATTTGTTCTTTATTATCTTTTACTTGTTTGAGAATGCCTCTATATCCTAAGTCTGAGGCATTTGTTTTAACTATTTTGAAGGCTAGTGGATTTGCTATATGTAATCATGGCAGGTGGGTAATTTGGGGCTTTGATCTGCCGGATTATATTTGTGTGATTACTTGTCCATGGTTTTGGATTTTTCTTTAATCTTTCATATAAGGGTTTGCAAATTTGACTAAGTTTTGGATACATAGTTAAGACTTCTTAAGAAACTTTGTAATTGAGTTTTATCAGTGATGACATTAGGAAGTTTTTGACCAAATTCAATACATCTTTGAATAGGTATGATTGTGGCATTATAGATTATTTGACCTAAAAATCGAATCTTTATTTGGAAAAGATTTATTTTAGTTTCTAACACAATCAAACCATTTGTTTTGACAATGTGAATAAATATTTTTAAATATTTAAAATGTTGATTTATACTAGATGAAAATACAAGAACATCTTCTATATAGACAATAAGAAATTGAAAATATGGATTGAATATATCATTCATTATTCTTTGGAATTTTGATGGAGCATTTTTTAACCCAAAGGACATTACATTTCATTCATATTGACTAAATGGTACAATAAATGCAATTTTATATCTATCTTCTAGTTTAATTTGAATTTTCCAAAATCCTGACTTCATGTCAAATTTGGAAAAGATTCTTGAATTACAAAGTTTTTTAGTAAATCTTTTTTGTTTGGGATTGGGTATCTTATCCATCTTAAAGCTATATCAAGTGGGTGGTGGTGGTGCAGGGAGGAGAAGGAGGTGTTGTTGTTGGTGGTTCTAGCCACAATGGAGGCTTTGATGTTGGAGGAGGTGTGGGCTTGGTGTTGGTGGTGGTGTTGAAGGAGGAGGTGATGGTGGTGGGGGTGGAAGTGGAAGTGGAGTTGGGGGTGGATTATGTGGAGGATCTAGACATAAGAGTGGCTTAATTTGGTGCTGGTGGCGGTGTAAGAGGTAGAGCTGATGGAGGCATAGGTAGCGAAGAAGTAGTTGGAGGCGAGGGTGGAGGAGGAATAGGTGGGGGTTCAAGTTATGGTGGTAGGTTTGGAGTTGGTGGAGATGTAGGAGGAGGTGCAGGTATAGGTGGTGGTGTTGGAGGAGGAGTAGCATGTGGTATTGGTAAAGGGCATGAAGCTGGTGGTGGAGGTGGAATTGGGATAGACATTAGAGTGATTTACCATTCTGTCCTTTTTCAATTAAAGTTAACCGATGGATGTTAAGTTCTTAATTATGCGTGTAAAAGTGTCGTTTTAAAACTTTCTGGGTGGGACATGTTGTTTGGCCAAACCCTGGGTGGGATATTGTCGGCTTATCGCTCTCCCTTATTTTTAAGTTAAATCAACTGTAAAATTTTCATTAGAATTGTCTGTTTTTTTTTTTAATGACCGTTTTTCATTTTACATTTAGTAAAATTTTTAAAATATGTTTGTTGTTATTCTTAGATGGTTGTTACAATATTTTATTTTAGTTTTTCATTATCATAATCCGGTAATTCTAATAATGTGGTTGTTTTCAATAATTCTTGTGATAATTTTTTCTACAATAATTTCACAGGCCCACAAAGCCCATTAAATCGATGGTTGATGTTATGGGCTAGGCCCAATATCCCAGTAGTTAGTTTCCTCCACGTTCGTGATTATGGGGACGCACAATATTTCGCCCTTTAAACACGTCGTGAACAATTCATAAAATCGTAATCAAATAATAATCCAGCTTTACTAGGATTTTGTGATAACCGTCAGATCCTCACCCTCGTTTCCTTTTCCGTTACCCATCCAACGGTTATAATTCCCGCCTCTTCCAATTTTCCGGCCACCACATAAACCAAAACCAACAACAAAGAAGAAATTCAAGAACAGTGAGAAAGAGAGTATTTTTCTTGAGGAAATGGGCATGGATTATTACAACATATTAAAATTGAATCGCAACGCCACCGATGACGACCTCAAAAAGGCGTACAAGAGATTGGCCATGATATGGCACCCGGACAAGAACCCAACTTCTAAAAGACCAGAAGCGGAAGCGAAATTCAAGCAAATCTCCGAAGCCTATGATGTTTTAAGCGACCCACAGAAACGACAGATCTACGATTTGTACGGAGAGGAGGCCTTGAAATCAGGACAGGTCCCACCAACTTCGAGTTCTGCCTCCACGTCGGCTCGTGGACAGGGCCAACATTATTATCAACGCCAGCATCCCAATCCGACGTTCCGGTTTAATCCCAGAGATGCGGAGGATATTTATGAGGAGGTTTTTGGATCTGAGAGTAGTAATAATGGAGGGCAAAGAGGGTATAGAGGACATAGAGATGGATATTTTAGGAATGGGAATACTAGTACTGCTAATGGAGCCGACTTCAAGAAAGCTTTGCCTGTTGAGACTGTTTTACCCTGTAGCTTGGAGGACATTTATAAAGGTGCTAAAAAGAAGATGAGAATTTCCCGGAATGTCTATGATGCTTCTGGGTATGTTCTCTTTTCTTCCTATTAATTGCTTCTTCTTTTTTTTTTTTGTTAATGTAAACATGTTTAATGTGTTACTTATAAGAATTTTATGTGTACTTGAAAAATGCTTAGAAGGTTGTCAATTGGAAATCTTGCAAGACCATGCTACTGAAGTTTAGGAGTTTAACAGCTTATATGTTAGGTTAAAGATTCTCTTGATTGTTTTTGGTAAAAATAGTTTTGCTGACTTGACTATGATTGTTGCGCCTCACTGACCATTGATCTTTATGCTACCATAGATATTATGAAGTGTCAAGATTTTATTACTCTAGGATCTATGAATTGTTTATTTATGGATAGCTTCAAACCATTCTCATTCAGTTGGTATAATTTTTTTGTTGTTTGATTTAATTCTGTTAGCATCCGTGCAATGTACTTAGTTTTTGCTTGACTGAGATTTCTGTTGTGTTATCATTATATTTCTTGGATTCACCTTGTTTAGTGGTCTATTGCTACAAAACAATCATGATTGTATCTTATTCATTTTTTGCAAGTTATAGTCAATCTTTAATTTTGCTGATAAAAAAAACTGTTAGCATATCGGGCATTAATATAAAAAATTGTCTCACTCATTTTTTTAGCACGGATGGAGATCAAATTAAATTGTTTACGTGAATTAAGGGTTTCAATAGTGCAGTGCCAGGTTTCCTTGCAAAGATGTTCTCATTTGCTTGTCCTACTACTACATTTATATATATGTCTCATTGTTCATCTAAAACAAAACACTGGTCTTGGTTTTCTTTTCTACTTATAAAAAGAAACTTTTATTATAGCCAAACAAACCAACAGACTTAAAGAGCAAAACGAGGAGCAGCAAAATATTTGATATGTTGAATAATTTCATGAAAGTGCTAATATTTCATAATAGTGGATAAATATGTGAGGGAAATATCTTCTTGAGATATACCGAAGATGTAAAATGGAATCCACTTCCTTGGATAAAATTTAAATGGATCTTTGTTGATGGTAATAGATTATCTCTTGGCCTTAGGATATGATAGTAATCGAGTAAAGTTGAAGGAGAATGCAAGTGAGAGAGAAAATATTAATAAAAGAGGCTAGAATAATAAATATCTGCTATTCTGTTAATGTTTCTCTAATGAGTTTCAGTCCAAGCCCAAAAGGAGCTGCCTCGTTCCTAAACGATTTGTATTTGTGAGCTGTATAGGATACAGAAAATTAGGAAGAAGTTAAGCAACCACTCGAAAGTTTCAAAATAAGCCAAGAAGTAGCTTACTTTCTTTCATGAACCTTGCAATGAAGGCCACTTCTGTCTTGCTGCAAGTTTTCTTTTTCATTTGTTCTCTGACAAGTAACACTAGACTTGTGTACTGTTTGTGTTAGTAGTCAATGAATATTTTGAGAACATTTTTCCAGGTGTATTGCAGTCTGAAATCTAGATGCTGCTGATGTTAACGTCAGGAAAGTTTACCAGATTGAATTTAATCTTACTATTGATTTATTCTTTGGCATTTAAACTAAAGAATTATATATAAGCTAGAAGATGTTTGCCATATGGACCAGGATGGGATTTTTCCACCTGTATTTGGAAGAGGCAACATTGATTAAACACTGAAAGTTACTTGTTCCTGTAGGAGGTGACTAGGAAGCGCAGAATTTGTCATGTTGAAGTGTTTTCCAATTTTTAGGATTTTGGTTTTTCTTGTTTTCCTTCTTGGTAGAATGCATGTAGGATTTTCTTCCACAAGCAAACTTGCTATTGTTTAGTGTAAATAAAATGAGTTTTTTATAACTGTTTGTGTTCTTTTTATTATGATTTCAGCTATGATTATAGTTGTTGATTAAACATCTTTCTTTTCTCGGTGGAAAAGTAGCAAAATGCTTGATTGTTGTGAGTTTGATTTTTAGGTGAAAATCAATGGGATTAAAAACTTCCTTCCATTTCTGCTTCTCTTGAAGCTCAAGTTTTCATCGTACATTTGTTTATGCAATTTCTTACATTTTATTAGGCCAGGAGTGTCTGTTTTCCTGGTTTATGCTGTTAAATATTAAAGATACTCTTATAGGTGATTTTAAAGATTTTCAAATTCATGTTTAAAACTTCAGAGTAGTTTTTTACCAAAGGTACTCTCGCTTTCTTAGTTCAAAATATGCAGAGTAATGGATGGCTTTTGATATTAACGTTATGATAATTTTTTTCTCATGCAATCCACTTATTTTGTTTATGTTGCATTAATTCTATGTTTATTTATGGTTTTCTTCTGTTCATTGACCTTGAGCTTGATATTTGAGCACCTTTTTTGGCAGTAAGCTAAGGACTATTGAGGAGATATTGACCATTGAGATCAGACCTGGTTGGAAGAAGGGAACAAAGATAACATTCGAGGAGAAGGGTAACCAGGAACCTGGTCTTATTCCAGCAGATCTTATTTTTGTGTTAGATGAGAAGCCACATGATCTTTACAAAAGGGATGGTAATGACTTGGTAGTAAACCAGGAGATAACACTGCTGGAGGCCCTCACAGGTAAGACCCTTGACCTGACTACCCTGGATGGAAGGAATATTATGATCCCTCTGACAGATATTATCAAACCGGGTGCTGAAGTAGTTGTCCCAAATGAAGGAATGCCAATTTCTAAAGAACCTGGGAAAAAGGGTAATTTGAGAATCAAGATCAGTGTCAAGTATCCTTCAATGCTCACATCAGTACAGAAATCTGAGCTCAGAAGGGTTCTTGGAGGAGTTTCATAGTTATAGTCATTTCAAAATGGACCACTAAATTAGCATGGGAGATATCTTGATCTTAGATGTAAATAATATGTATGCTGTCATAGAATGTGAATGCTAGGCAGGTTTTGGTGGTGGTATGGTATAGCTAAGAGCTGAGTTTCAGTCTAACTGGAAGGAATAGGTAGGTAAATTCTACCTAAGCTTCTGTCATTTTTTTCCTTACAATAATTTACCTGTGATTTGGATGCTGGTATACTATACATTTAGGAAAGATTGTTCTTTGGATTTTGAACTGATAGTGGAGTGACCTGGTGAATTTTTTACCATGAGAAACATCATATTTCATTTTTTGGTTTTTTTTTTTTTTTTTTTCCTGAAAGATTCTACGCAAGTGTTAGTTCTCTTAATTTGTGTTAAAACATTTAAATTGAGTTGCCAAGTTTTTTTTTTTTTGTAAGAAATCATGTTCCTGTCCTAAATTGTTTCATTCAGAAGATCATCTTCACTATTCGTGCCCTGAATAAAAGGCAACAACTTTCAGTGGTTGTCTAATGCTCAGATGCAAAAAAATAGGTTAGTACAAACTCTTCTCTGTGGTAGTGGCTAGAAAATTATGGGATTTCTGGATTCTGTCTTCAGTTCTTGGAGGCCCAAATCATTTGGGAAAGTGATACTAGGTGTAAATTACTGTATCATATTGCCATGAGAATTACCCAAAAAGAAAAGAAATCATTGGAGAGTTTGTCAATTACCCAAGTTTGGTTAGTAATAATAGTAACATTTTAGGTGGGAGTATCGGTTAAGGGAAGGAGGGTTTTTGGAGGATGGTAGCTAATCTATCAGTCATATTGAAGACATTATCATTATTTTTTTTACTGCATAAATCATGGTGAATGAGCTGTTTGTTTTGTATGATGAAAGTTAGGTGGCTCTTCCTTTTCGCATTTCTTCGAATCCTCATCGTTTGGTCCAGCCGAAAGTAAATGAAGGGCTAACTTATTTTTGTTTTAAATGCTTATTTTCAAAGTATTTTTTAATGGTTCATATGCAACCAAATTATTGGATTTTCTGGTTCATTTTTGGATGCAAAAATGTACGAACGATTCACAGCATCAATAAAAGAAGATTACTAAAGCACATGCTGTCGATACAAAAAAATTTATAATTGATATTTGGTTGGGCCAGTAAAGCAAATTGGGTCAACTTCTTCAAACTTTGCCTCCCATTCAGATTTGATTTGAAAACGTCATGTAACTTATAAAATAATACTACCCAATAATTATACTTCAACTAATAAATAAACACTTAACAAAAGCTATGAATGAGCTTATAATGGTCCATTGAATGCCCACTTTCTGCTTGTTTTTTTTCTTTCTGAAAGTGAGTTGTGGAGTGGTTCAAATTTGGCTTATGATTAACGACAGAAGGGCAAGCTTGAAAGTTAAAATATATAAATAATAACACCTGAAAATAACACAAATTGCAAGATTCTTTGGGTTGTGAAACAACAGAGAAAGGGGATTTGCACATGCACACTACCACTACAAGATGTCTTTACAAAAGCTTCTTTCTTTTGTCTTTGAGTTTTGATTGATTCCATTCTTTCTTTTATTATATATCTTATCATGTCATTTTAGTTGCAGAGAACAGATGACAATTGGCGAATGAGAGTTTGATTCTGGTTTAGAAAAGTGAGTGCTTTTCGGAAAGCAATGAAGATACCTATGAAATTTTTTGTCATACATATAAAAAGTGAAAAGATATGTATCTTCTCTTTATGTAAATCACTCGAAGTTTAGCGAAATTCTAAGTTGATACCCCTAATTATATTTATTTTAGATTCTCATCCTTAAAGTAACATCGTTAGTAATTGTTGGAGGTAGTTGGAAATGATGAGTGAGATCGGTAAGTGAAGGTATGAGTTTTGTAAAGGAGGTTGTAGGGAGTCCAATGGTGGTCTTGGAAGTGATTTTAGACTTCAGAATCGACTGGGAAAAGCCAAAAACCCTGGCTTGGACGTTGTTAACGTGAGTCGTTTTTTGCTAACATGAGTCCACCTTCTGCCAAAGAGAGCATCAGCGTACTTTAGTGTGCTATCTGTCAAAATAAAGGAAACAACATTACTTTAAGGGTGGAAATTTGAAACAAATATAACTAGGGGTACCAATTGGATTTCACTAAATTTCGGGTGGGAATATGTTGTTTTCTAATGTAGAGATTATGAAATCGACTTTGCTTTTTCTCTTTTTTGTGTTTCTTTTATTGATTGCTTACTCATCTCACAAATCAATATTTTCATTTCATATGGGTGAGAATACAGAATATGAATATCCTTGTGGGTAAGAAGTATATATTTTGTTTTGAGAAGATTACAAAAACAAATTATATCATTGAAAAATAAAATAAAAACTTTATATTATAAGCAAAACATGTGGAGATGTTGGATAGCATTAAATTTGAGTTAATAGAAGTGGACCATGTGCAGTCGGTGGTGGTGTGCTGCCGACTCTGAACAATTTCCAGCCTTAGAAATTCTCTTCATCATCCCAATAAAACAAACCCTTTTGACAGGACAGATTACAGATTACAGATTACAGATAACATGTATCTCAATTATTGTTCAGTTTATTTTTCTAGTTATCCATTTTTGTATATATAGCTTTAATTCCTACACTTGGGTTTGCCATGTGAAGTGTATTATCAAATATTTTTCTGCTTCTTTGATGAATAAAGCTATTAATAAAGATTAGTTCCAACCTAATCTCATAATTTTTTTCTCATAATCTTGCGTGACAGTTCGTAATTGGACAAATAAGACACAGAGCGAGCAAATAAGATTTATTTGCGAACAAACAAATTACTAATTATCACGTCAGAATTGTGAGAGGAAGTTTGTGAGAATGAGTTATAAGTGTAGTATTGCTGTAAAATTATAAATGGTGTATAATGGAGGGGAAGATTAACTAGGGAGTTGTGTGAGCCACGCGAAAGGATTTTTTGGGAATTGATTTGTTACCATAACTTTAGATAAAATTTTGAGTAAACGACATATTCCCATCCAAGGTTTGACAAAACCCAAGTTGGTACCCCAAGTTCCATTTATTCCAGATTCTCACCCTTAAAGTAACAGAAAATTGTTAGATATAATGGCTCAAGGATAAATTGGTCAGGTGCACATTAGCAGATTGCCGCCCTTAACAAACCGACGCACGTTAGCCAACATCATCGCCAACGTTTTTTGCCCTTTTTCGACGATTCTTCCACCCAAAATTACCCTTATCACCACCATTCGAACCCTTATCTTCCTCTCTACAAAACCTTACCCTTCACAACCTCTCATCACTCGCCGATTGCCAGCCACGACAGCCGCCACATGCGATTGGTTTTCGTCGGTCTCCACCAGTGAATGACCACTAAACAGTTGCTGGGGACATAGGGGTTTTGTAGATTTGGAGACGCTGGTTGCATTGGTGATGTCCAATTGGATTTTCGTCGTCAGAATCCAACGAAGAACGACAAAAACCTAAGCTTGACGGCGCCGGCGATGGGAGGGCCCAATGAATTGGGAACTAGAGGGGTTTTGGACATTAGACGATGGGGAAGGTGATGGAGGTGACCAGGGGGTTCGTCGTCATCAAAAACAGCCAAGATCCGGTGAAAACCAAGACCGTGTGCAGTCACTGAGGGTGTAATTAAAGTAATTTTAAAATAAGATGGTTAATTTTATAATTTTAGTAATTTAGGGGTTAAAACATAATTTATTAATTTAGAGTTAAGGGTATTATGGTAATTACACTCTCATTATCCTAAAAATTGTTAACAGTATTATTTTAAGGGTGAAAATCTAGAATAAATAGAACTTGGGTCGCCAACTTGGATTTCGTCTTGGGTGGGAATATCTCGTTTACTCTAAAAAAATTATTGGGAAAATGAGTTGGTCCACGTATCTCATAGAGCTGGCTTTGCTCAAAACTGTTCCCCTATTTTGGGCATTTTAACAGGTAAAATCTTTCTTAACCACACAAATATACCAAGAGTTTTATTACTCTTATAAATATTATAAATAAGAAGTTATCTTAAAACATGCACTAATAAAAAATTTGATTATGGCGAAACACACTTTGTTTTAAAAAATAAAAATACATTTTTAAATATATTAGTTCTTAAGATAATTTATAATTTATAAATAAATTAAGGGTTCAAATTTTTTTAAAATCTTAAAATATCAAGTACATGGAGATGAAGGATATAGGTCCAAATATAAAACAGAAAAAAGACAAAAAAACATTTAGCCATCTATTTTTCTTCGGATTCATTAAAATCTTAGTAATTGACTTTTTCCCACCCAAATATGGTATAAGGACACTTTCTCATTTATATATTTTTAAAATACTATTTTATTATCCAAACGTTATATTCTATTAACAATTTTCGTTAAATATAATGATTTTAATTGTGAAGATGAAATTATCCTCTAATCGAGCTCACCCCACCATTTTCACCCAAATAATGCTAACTGTGTAGCCCCTTGCTAACATGCGCCTGCTTCTATAAACATTTTAATTGATCATTCTATTCTTACTTATAATGTACTAAGAAAATGAAAGTGAAAAAAAACCTTAGAAAGGCAAAAAAGGGAGGAAACTGCGGAAGTAACAGATGGAGAAATAGAAATGATTTTTAAAACAAGCGAAACTAAACAGGAACAAGAGGTATCTACGGAAGAAGATCCTTCTTCTTCCCTTGTTTTTGGAAGAAAATGAGGATCTGAACACAATTGAGGAAATAGAAGAGAGCCGAGTGAATGGATCTTGATCATCTCATATTTCTTTATAGTAAAATTTATTAACATAATTATATTTTGAGCCAGTAAAAAGATATTTTAAAAGTTAATGAATGAAAAGGTATCATTACACTGTTAAAAAAAAAGAAAAAAAAAAGTCGTTTAATCAATCTGAAAGTGTCATCTACATGGGTCCAAATAAAAAACAAAAATAATTGATAGAAACAATAGCTTTACAGCACAGAAAAGATGACAATAATAAGTCATTAGGCCCACATTAACATTAACATTAAATTTGACAAGGAAAGTGACAATCCTTCGTGTACATTAAAAGTGATATACGTTATAGATTTTCCCAAAAATAATGATAGAGAAATCCAAGGGTGGGTGTTACGGCATGGTACGGAATTGTACCTTAATTTGAAGAAAAGAAACAAGGACAAATCTCATTTGGATTTACTTTTAATTAGCTAATGGGACACATGCAACATCAATTAGTAATATACCATGCCTCCTTGTTCTTGGTTTTGTTGAAAGTCATCAACAGGAATTAAATGACATTGTTAACGAAGATTAAAACCTCTAATATTATAAATAATCAATATTTTTTAGTTTACCTAAACTTTTCCAGGCATTGAGTTAGGTTAGTGCCAAGAAAAAAAAAGGGTTAAAAAAAGGGGAAGATAAAGAGATAGGTTAGGGGGCACACCAATCAATGGGAGAGTAGGTCATCTAAGGTGTTACTTTTCTTATATAAGGGTAAAAGTTGGAAAGTGGTTTTTTTTTAATTCTTTCAACAGTAGTTTAGACTTTAGAATGGCAATGCACATAAACGTGTCCAATTATTTCTTTGAGATTTTTATTTGATATTTCAACATCCTTTCCTTCTTCTTCTTCACTTGAAATATATTACTCAATTGGATTTTCGCCATCTCCAGACGGAAATAATCAAAGAGAAGGCGACTTAAATTTCTTAAAAATTCAATCATTAATTTAATTTATCATTCAAATGTTAAAAGCACAAACAGTCAAAACCCCACCTGATAATTTGGCCGTTGCCTGCTTTAACAACAACTCAACATAAAATTGGATTGAAGGGCAAACATTTTATATTAAATTATAGAGAGGATTTGTTCGATTCGATGTGGGGGAGAACGACTTACACATACCCAAGATTCATCGTAACGACAAGTTGGTACCCAAAAGGTTTTGAAATGACAAATAGGTACTTTCCGTCATGTTCTGTTAGTGATTTCTGTTTATTACTGTTTATTAATAGTGAAAAGACTAAAATACCCTTAAAAGTTTGAATTTTAGTTTTTTATAAATTTAAAAATTTCAAAAAACCCCCTAAGTTTACAAATTTCACTAAATACCCCAATATATAAAAGTTTTATAAAATAACAAAAACACCCCCCACCCGCAAGTGCCAGATTCCGGCCACCACCGCCGGAATCTGGCCGGAAAGTTGCGTTACGACACAGACCCGTCGGATCTGTGTCGTAACGCGCGATCTAGCCTTTTCGGCCAGATCCGTGGCTGATCTGGCCGGAAAAGGCCAATCTACGGCTAGATCTGGCCGTCGACGCTGCAAAACTCCATATGCAGCGTCGAAGGCCAGATCTGGCAGTAGATCTGGCCTTTCCGCAGATCAGCCACAGATCTGGCCGGAAGCCAGATCTGGCTGCTGCTGCTCGACGGCCAGATCTTGCCTTTTCCGGCCAGATCCGTGGCGGATCTGACCGGAAAAGGCCAGATCGGCATTTACGACACAATCCACGGATCTGTGTTAATGCAGTTTTCCGGCCAAATTCCGCATGGTGGCCGGAATCTGGCATTGGGGTGGTGGGGGGTTTTTTTGTCATTTAACAAACTTTTTATATGGGGGGTGTTTATTAAATTACAAACCTAGGGGGTTTTTTAGAAATTTTTAAATTTATAAAAACAAAAATTGAAACTTTGAAGGGTATTTTAGTCTTTTCACTATTAATAAACAAAAATCATTAACAGAATATAACGGAAGGTACCTATTTGTCGTTTCAAAACCTTTTAGGTACCAACTTATCGTTACGGTAAACTTTGGGTATGCACAAGTCGTTCGGCCTTTGATGTGGTGGCGAAACTACAAAACACTATAGGTGTCAAACGCGACCTTAACAAATGTTTGAAATGATCGGTGGTTCGATAGAGACTTTTTAGTGTATTACTCAAGATCTTAAGTTCGAGTCTCTCCCCATGTGCTAATAAGATAGTTACTGAAGTTTTTAAATTCCGGACTGATAATTATAGGATTATGAGGGATTAATTGAGGTACGCGTAAGCTAGTCTAAACACATTTGGTCATCAAAAAAATAATAGAGATAACCACTGAAGTTCTTACCTGATCGATATTTCTAAGATTCGAAAGATTAGTTAATAGAAATAATCATTAAAACTCTTATCTGACCAATAATTCTAGGATACCAAAATATTGATCCAGATGTGTATACTCTGAGTCGGATACCTCCGTCATCAAAAAGAAAAAAAAAAAAAACAAAATATCACTGACTCATAAAGACTTGTTGGGACACTCATGTTGAATTTCAACTCATTCAAAGCTTACTTTTTCTTGCTTTTTTTGTTTTATTATTTAAAAGACAAAGACAAAGTCTTTCTTACCATATTTTTTATCTTCTCTGGATTAGTTCATCTACGTAAAAGCAGGTGAGAATTTGGTTGCATCACCAACCTACACAATGAATTTCCATTCATACTTTGATTGTAATTCCTTTGTGAAAGTACTAATAAAAACATATTTGTGATATTTAAGAAGGGAAGTAAACGTTTCTTGTTTTAACCAAAAAAACAAATAAATAAATGAAACGTTTATATAATTTCAGTTACAGCCTTCAAGAAAAGAAACTTTAGTGCCCAAAAAATTAATAGTGGGTGCATGTGGGATTTATTATTATTGGCTTGTTTGGTGTTCTCATCTTTCAATTTCAAGAAAAATAGTATATTATGTCAAATTACCATTTACTACATGGAAAAAATAAGTATATCAAAATGACCCAAGGAACAATCCTTCAAGCGGAGGATACCAAGACAATGTGAGTATGTGACAATCATACACAAAGGACTAGTTTATATTACACAGGGACTACGTTTGAAATTTAATTTTTAGGAACGTAGTTTTTGGATATTTAGTCAGAAGAAAAAGATTGTGGACTGTTACTACTGTCTCATACAGTCATACTGCCACTACTCTTAGCGGTTGTTCTTCTGGTTGGCTCTCACGAATTTGGTGTTGGCTGGGTCGTTCTCATTTTGGTTTTAGAAGCCTAATCTATTCTCAAAATAAAAACTTCGTAACTGGGTAAAGCTTGAATTCTTCTCATTTTTTAAGTTTTGAGTGGTGTTGATGGCTCTTTGATGGTGGTTGGTTAATGTGTTTTGATCTTTGGTGGGTTTGTAGTGAGAAGTTGAGATTTTGAGCTTGTGTGGGAGAGAAGATGGAGGAAAAGGGTGAAGTTTTGGACGCAGTGTTGAAGGAAACTGTGGATTTGGTAATAGATCTGAATATACTTTGAAGCTCTTTCTTTTTATTTTTTGTTATGTGATATATGTTTTTGTTTTCTGTTGGTATTTTTGGTGTTAAAGTGTTGAGCTTTTTTGGTTGAGTGCAGGAAAACATAGCCATTGAGGAAGTTTTTGAGAATCTGAGATGTAGCAGAGAAGGTCTCAGCAGCGAGGCTGCTGAGGAGAGACTGACCATTTTTGGTCACAACAGGCTTGAAGAGAAAAAGGTAATTTTTTTTCTTCATGTTGCTGTTACAAACCATTATCTTTTCTCATTATGTTTATGTCTCGTTTGGTGTTTATTAGGACAGCAAATTCTTGAAGTTCTTGGGGTTCATGTGGAATCCTCTCTCGTGGGTTATGGAAGCTGCTGCTATTATGGCTATTGCTCTTGCAAATGGAGGAGTAAGTGATTGTTAATGTTTGCTGAGCTATTGTGTGTGTGTGTGTGTGTGTTTTTTTTTTTTTTTCCTGAATAGTTGTGTCTTCTTCGACTTTCAGTGAATTGTATCCTTTTATTCTACTTTTGCAGGGAAAGCCTCCAGATTGGCAAGACTTCGTTGGTATCATCACACTTCTTGTAATTAACTCGACCATCAGTTTTATAGAGGAAAACAACGCTGGTAATGCTGCAGCTGCTCTGATGGCTCGTCTTGCTCCAAAAGCGAAGGTACCAGGTTCCAGCAACGATGAACACGTCAATGATCTTTATGCTTAAGTGTTTAAATCTTGATAAGTGGCCCTGTGTATGAATGAATATTGGAGATACATGTTTGGCTAACTATTTTTGTATGATTCTTGAATTTAATTTGTTAAAAAAAGGTTCTTCGAGATGGAAGGTGGAATGAGCAAGATGCTGCCGTTTTAGTTCCTGGTGACATAATTAGTATCAAACTAGGAGATATTATTCCAGCTGATGCTCGTCTTCTTGAGGGCGATCCCTTAAAAATTGATCAGGTATGTTGTCGGTAATTATTGTTTTACAGACTATAATTATGCTGAATTGGTCTATTTTTGTTGTTTAATCTTTTATTTTTTATTTTTTTGGACTGGCAGTCTGCGCTTACTGGCGAGTCTCTTCCTGTAACGAAAGGCCCCGGGGATGGTATATACTCAGGTTCTACTTGCAAGCAGGGAGAGATTGAAGCAGTGGTCATCGCCACTGGTGTCCATACCTTCTTTGGGAAGGCTGCTCACCTTGTTGATAGCACTAACCAAGTTGGCCACTTCCAGAAGGCAGGGAGATGAATATAAAGTATCTTTATTACTAACTTACTTTGCATTTCTTTTTAATGATTCTGATTCTGTGTGTCACATCTCATGATAAGTAGGTCTTGACTGCAATAGGGAATTTCTGCATTTGCTCAATTGCTGTGGGAATGATAATAGAGATTATTGTTATGTACCCAATCCAAGACCGGCAATATCGTCCTGGAATTGACAATCTTCTTGTGCTTCTCATTGGTGGAATTCCAATTGCTATGCCAACAGTTCTGTCTGTCACAATGGCTATTGGTTCTCATAGGTTATCTCAGCAGGTTAGCTAGGTTCCTAGAGATGTTTTAATTGATTGTGTTTCATGTGGCTTTTGATTTAGATGGAATGTGTTAATGATATTTGCAGGGAGCTATCACAAAGAGAATGACTGCAATTGAAGAGATGGCAGGCATGGATGTGCTTTGCAGTGACAAGACTGGAACATTGACGCTGAATAAACTAACTGTTGACAAGAATCTTATTGAGGTTGGTGGCATTTGTGTTGTTGGGCATTTTCTTCTCATGCTTGGGGATTATAATTTCTTATTGCATGTCTGAATTTCCATTTTCAGGTTTTTGCTAAAGGAGTAGATGCAGATACAGTTGTTCTAATGGCAGCGCGGGCCTCTAGGACTGAGAACCAAGATGCAATAGATACTGCTATAGTTGGGATGCTGGCTGATCCAAAAGAGGTAACGGGTTGGCATCCTGACCTTGTATCTTCTTATTGAAAGCAACTTAGTTATTCAAATGTCAACTGAAGATGGTATTCTGTTTCTTTTTTTGCTACAAAAGGCTCGTGCTGGCATTCAGGAGATACACTTCCTTCCTTTTAACCCAACTGATAAGCGCACAGCTTTAACTTACCTTGACCGTGAAGGTAGAATGCATAGAGTTAGCAAAGGGGCACCAGAGCAGGTAACTTGTCCTCACATCTTATCTGTATGGTTGTCCCTGTTTTTTTTTTTTTTTCCCCAAAATTTTCTTCCTAATTCCTGGCCGTGATTTTATTTTCAAGATTCTACATCTTGCTCACAACAAGTCAGACATTGAGCGAAGAGTTCACGCTGTTATTGATAAGTTTGCAGAGCGAGGCCTGCGATCTCTTGCCGTGGCCTACCAGGTGATTGGAATTTTTCTTTCATTTATAATCCTGTTTAACATTTTATGTTTTGTTTACTCTATTTTATTTTCATGTTACTGTTTTTAATTTTTAATTTCCTTCATGGATGTAGGAAGTTCCGGATGGAAGAAAAGAAAGTCCTGGAGGCCCATGGCAATTTATTGGTCTGATGCCTCTCTTTGATCCACCTAGGCATGATAGTGCAGAGACCATAAGGAGGGCTTTGAATCTTGGAGTAAATGTTAAAATGATTACAGGTGGTTTCTATTTTGCAGTTTAAGTTATTTTTTTACTTGGGGAATGATATTGTTGAATGACTACTATGTTACTGCCTGGTGAAAGCATAATTAAGTAATAAGATATTGCATGTTTTGGAAATTTTACTGAAATTTAAGCTCTATACATATCATTTACCTTGTTTTAAAAATGAATGGAATTCTTTATGCTCATCATACTTATGTTGCTTTTACGGAATGATGAATCTATTCTTTGAAGTATTAGCATAATTGTGCTAATACTTCACGAAAAAGTCATTAGTACTTGGTATAATCATTAGATTTGGAATGACTATTTGATTGTCATTTTTCTTCTTGGAGTTTAGTTTTGTGCAAATTCATTTTAAGAAATTAGGTAGATTTATGGTACCTAAGGGCTGTGATTTGTCCTAACATCTTTGGTAGTTGCATCCATAATATTGAATCATATTCTCAAATTTTGCCTAATATGATGAATATTATCTTTGTGGACTATGCTTGTTTTGCTTAAATCTGTGAGTATCTTCAGGAGATCAACTGGCAATTGGGAAGGAAACTGGACGACGTTTGGGAATGGGAACAAACATGTATCCTTCATCTGCTTTGCTAGGACAGGACAAAGATGAGTCTATTGCCGCTTTACCAATTGATGAATTGATAGAAAAAGCTGATGGCTTTGCTGGTGTTTTCCCTGGTATTTATTTATTTGTTTTTTCAAAAAGATAAAGTTTTTATTTTTCTCTATTTGTTTTCATGCTCTTTGTTTACCTTTGATGTATGCTTGATGTTAAATTTATACTTGTTTCTGCCTATAGCCTAGTTTTTATTTGTCCTTGGTTACATTATTGAGTTAAATATGTTTATTGGTTCAGAACACAAATATGAGATAGTAAAGCGTTTGCAAGCTAGGAAACATATTTGTGGTATGACTGGTGATGGAGTCAATGATGCTCCTGCTCTTAAGAAGGCTGACATTGGCATAGCTGTTGCGGATGCTACTGATGCAGCTCGTAGTGCTTCTGATATTGTCCTTACTGAACCTGGCCTTAGTGTCATCATCAGTGCTGTTTTGACCAGTCGAGCTATCTTCCAGCGTATGAAAAATTACACAGTTAAGTTTTTTCTGAATGTAGTGTATGTCCTTACTTTTAACTCAAAGTTTTTATGTGAAACACACTGTTTTACTCTTGATCACTAGCTAGTTGCAGTGATATCATGTATGTCCTACATACGTTATGAGCCTAGAATGGTGTTAATTAGCACATACTTTCTACCAGTTTACTTATATTTGTCTATTCCCTTTCTCAGATATATGCAGTTTCCATTACAATCCGTATTGTGGTAAGATGTTCTTCTTTTCAGAGGGTTGTTACATCATATGGATTCATTTTCCCACTCTGGTGCTTTAGTCAATAAGATTAATTTTGGTTATTTGTTATGGTGATAGCTTGGCTTCATGCTTCTGGCACTCATATGGAAGTTTGACTTTCCTCCATTTATGGTGCTTATTATTGCTATCCTCAATGATGGTTCGTTTTCGTCTCACCTCAAATTTCAAATTGAATGTGTAAAATATTTAAAAAATTTACAAATCATGAAATAAGGTATGCTCAGTTGCTATACTTGTGATATTAGTTGATCACCTTGGGAGATCCTTTATGCCTTCCAATTGGTTAACGGTTTGTAATTCATTTTTCTTTTTCTGCTAGTCGATTATCTTGCTCTATGCTTTATTCTGTTAAACTTCCCATGACTTCACCTACCCACCTATTTAAACAATGCACTTTCAGGTACGATTATGACGATATCAAAGGATAGGGTGAAACCATCACCTCTGCCGGACAGCTGGAAGCTAGCTGAGATTTTTACAACTGGCGTTGTTCTTGGTAGTTACTTGGCAGTTATGACTGTTATTTTCTTTTGGGCAGCATACAAAACTGACTTCTTTCCGGTAAGATGATATTCCTTCTCCAAAGATGTAGTTTGTTTTAATCTTGGATGATACAGCCAGTTGCTTATTTACCATTTGAAAGCATTGTCCATCCCATTGTATGAATTTCCATCTTGTTGAAGTAAACTTCCCATCTTGGTGCCAATTGAAAGATGGGTGCCTTCATGGAGAAACCTTGTGGACATCTGATGGAACTTTCAAATGATTTACTTTCTCTATCATTTGGCAGCGAACATTTGGGGTGTCAACTCTTGAGAAAACGGCTACTAATGATTTCCGAAAGCTTGCCTCAGCTGTGTATCTGCAAGTGAGCATCATCAGTCAGGCCCTTATATTTGTAACACGATCCCGAAGTTGGTCTTTTGTTGAGCGACCTGGTTTATTGCTTGTAGTAGCTTTTGTGATTGCTCAGCTGGTGAGCCAATTTCTCTTTTCCATTTAATTGCAAATTTGAACCAATAGGTTTGGGAGAATAAGAAACACTTATAATTATATTTCGTTATGAGCAGATTGCTACTCTGATTGCCGTCTATGCAAATTGGAGCTTTGCTGCAATTGAAGGGATTGGATGGGGTTGGGCTGGTGTGATCTGGCTTTATAATATCATCTTCTACATCCCACTTGATCCAATTAAATTCATGATTCGCTATGCTCTGAGCGGGAGGGCTTGGGATCTTGTCATTGAGCAGAGGGTATGAATTTCAATGATTTGCTGAGACTTCTTTGCCTAGCTTGGATTTAACGTCTTATTGTATTTTGATTGATTTCTTTTTGATGTAGATCGCCTTTACAAGGCAAAAGGATTTTGGTAAGGAACAACGAGAGCTTCAATGGGCACATGCACAAAGAACATTGCATGGGTTGCAAGCACCTGATACCAAAATGTTCACTGAGCGAACCCATTTCAATGAACTCAATCAGATGGCCGAAGAAGCCAAAAGGAGAGCTGAAATTGCCAGGTGAGCTGCACTCTTGTAGATTGTTTTCTTTTGAGTCATGCCATGGGAACCCGCTACTGGTTGCCTATATAGTTTTCTTTATAGATGGATATTACTTGAAGAAGATGGATCTTTAAAATATTGATGCATTCCTTTTTGGTATAATGACAAGCTCTGGTTTTCTTTCAAGACCTCTGATTGTTTTGGTTTCTATAAGACTAATTCTTTTCTATCCTCTTGAAAAAAATTAAATTTGTTCTCTTTTGGTGGCTTCTTTCAGATTGAGGGAACTTCATACACTGAAAGGTCATGTAGAATCAGTGGTGAGGTTGAAGGGACTTGACATAGACACTATTCAGCAAGCTTACACAGTCTAAAAGAGATCATCTATTGATCTACTCATTTGTTAAGAGACGTTTAATGGTGCTGAGATTAAAGACATGCAATCCGCATGTTGTGAGTTATTCGTCAAACAGTGTTAGTTTCTGCTTCTATAGTTTCCATTTGAGCACTTTAGCGTGCCGCGGTAAGCTTTTTTTTGTTTGTTTTCCCCTCTGCTCTTTAAAATTACTCATCAGAACGTTGTGGCATTTAATGTTTATATTAGTAAAAGATTTAAGGTCAGTTCCCTTATTCCGCTGTACTATGGAAAAACTTTCTGTTTTTAGATAATTACTTCTGTTGTTGATAGTGGGCAATAAGAGCTCAGAAACTTGAAATATATTGGATTCCGCACTTCTTGCTTCTTGCTGTATGTTTGATCCATGGTTTATTTCTAGTAGAGCATGTCAAATGTTTCCAATGTTCGGCGTGTAATCTCATGATGAATAGTTTTTCCATTAAAGCAACCCACCAATGTTTTAACATTTTTAGAATTGGTCTGTTGTTAACTACTTCCAAAATTTGAAATATAAATATAACTTTTACAGAGTCGGATATAAATATAAACCCAGTCAGCATGATCACAGTGGACATATCATCTTTGAGCGTCAGTAATTTGACTGGTTACCCACCCAGAAGTTAAAACAGTTCAGGCTTGCTGAGATTCTACGTATATTGACAATTGAGAACATTATCCGTACGACTTCACTGGGAAAGCATTTAGCGATTATATAAATGCTTAAATGGTTTCATGGTCAATAAATCAATGTTGAAAAGCAGTTTACTATTAAAGCCCATAAAGAGCGTTGACTAAAAGTCTGAAGAAAAATATGCAAAAATTTCGCAGAAATTCTTCAGGGTTCTGACTTGGAGCCGGCAAAGTTGAAAAAAATATTCGTCTTTTTATTCGAGGAAATGATTATTAAGTGGAACCAGGAGTCACTAATCAGCTTCTTATGTTTCCTAAAAACTGAAAATGTAAATGTATCATACATAAGTTGCTAAGAAACCTCCATAGGCTAAGGCTGTGTGAACTCCTGCCACTATCATCTGACATCTCCATGAATGCTATCTCCTATGAACATAAACATCAAACTAAAGTTTTATCTGATTGCTTTTTCTCTCCATTGGCTTTAATGGTGTCGGAGCCAGTCTCTTTGTACTTGTACCAACTGGAGCATACTAAAAAATAGCCAAAATTCAAAATCCCGAAAGCAGCAATCACGTAATAGTAATAATCTAATCTTCCCTTGTTAAGATCTTCAGCTAACCAATCTCCAGTTGCAGCTTTTTCTGTTGTTTTGTGAACTACACCAATTAATAGACTACTCAAATAACTTGAACCTGCGATACCACAGTAGAAGAGAGACCCCGCAATGCTTCTCATGTTCTCTGGGAATTGCTTGTAATAGAATTCCACCTGTCCAACGGCCGCGAACGCTTCTGCAAGTCCAGCTAGTGCAAGCTGAGGAACCAGAAACATAGCTGACATCGATGAAATGGCACCTCTTCTCGGTTGAATCCCGAGAGTTGGCTTGGTCAGAGCTACAGTCCTCCGGTGCTCTTCAACAATGGCTGATATTATCATGGTTATCACAGATAGAGCTATGCCAATGCCCATTCTTTGAAGCAGTGTGATGCCTTCTTCTTTTCCGGTGAGTCTCCGGAGACATGGGACTACAATTCTGTCATAAATAGGTAGCCAAAGAGTCAGGGACAGCATGAAGAAGACGACGTAAGTTGCTGCTGGAATCTTAAAGTTGGTGTTTCCAAGACGTCTATCACTTTGCTGGGCTTGGAAAACTACATAAGTTTGTTGTTGAACAATGGCAACATGGTACACAAGAGCTGCAGCCCATATTGGAAGCACTCTGAAAATGCATTTCACTTCTTCCACTTGCTGCATACAGCACAGTTTCCAAGGATTCGCCGGCGAACCGTCGGGGTTTATTTTGTCTTCAGGGGTTACTATTGCTGCTTTGTCTAGAAATCTGATAACACAAAATTAGTTGTTAATTTGATTAGTTCCCGTGATAAGATTTCGAATGAGACTACCAAATGAGATGTTGGTTACCTGAATTGATGTGAATAAGGGAGCTTGGAGTTGATAGAAGTAGGAGGAATATAATTAAAAAGAGAGAGCCAAGGATGGTCTGGTTGTTTTAGTCGCCTTTTCTTGATTGCAACCGCTATAACCTGGGCTACACTAGTCATTGGACTACCGGTGGCTTTCACTTTGACATATATTTTTGAACCCATGAAGAAGAGAACGCATGCTATAAACATTAGAAGTGCTGGAATTGCTAAACCGATAGCCCAACTCACATTGGATTGCACATACACAATTAAGGTCAAGGATACCATCTGGGCAAAAGTGTAGGTGAAGAAGTACCAATTGAAGAAGCTATTGATACCTTTCTTTCCTGATTCTGTTTCAGGATTGAATTGATCCGCGCCAAATGCCAAGTTACATGGCCGGACACCACCGGCCCCTATTATCATTAGTCCAAACCCGCACAACAGAAATGCCATTTGCCCTACTGTTGGCCCTTCGCATGTCGCACTCTCTGCTGCACAGTGATGAGGATGCAATTTGTGGATTGCCGCGGTTAATTGAATTGTTTGCAGCCCCTTCACAAAAAAGAAAAAGAACAATAAGAGATGTAGGAATTAGATTCACATCATGTTGAACTGCATGCAGAAGAATTTTGATTCTTAGTAAAGGTGCAAATTACACACTGGTGTGTTGGGGAGATGATTACTATGTCAAATTTTACAATATTTTTATGGTTTAGTTGAATTATTGACCGGGTCTGTTTCGGAGTTTTGTCTGGCTCTGTCACTTCTGTGTTTTTCAAATAATATATATATATATATATATATCAGATCTAAGTTCAACGAAATTTCAAGATTCTGTCATGTTCATCACTTTGAGGGTCCTGACTATAAATAAATTCATTATTGAAACTCACTAAACAGCAAAAGAAGTACCAAGAAAGAAGTGATTGTAGCGAATCCCAACGTCTTATAGCGACCGAAGTAAGTATCACAAAGATAAGCTCCAAGCATAGTGCCAAAGTTTGTGGTGCCATTGAAGATATTGATAATTGTTGCAGCAGTTATGCTCTTCATGTTGAAGACAGAAGTTAGATAGATCAACAGATTGGCCAGTGTGCCAATAGCTCCCAGCTTCTCAAAAGTTTCATTACCTGCAATATCATGGAAATTTGTCACTCAAAATGAACAACCAAAAAAAAGAAAAAAGTAGGAAGCGAGTAAGCAAACAAGCATGCAACTCCCTTAAGTTCACCTATGATGAAAGGCATGGCTTTCCATCCTCTGTAGTTAATCTCAGGTTCTTTTTTACTAACTGCTTTCATATCCAGCTCCAGGGTTCCATTGATCTCAGTCTTTTCTATAGCTAACCCTCCATTCTCAGTTTTATCCATAACTACTTCTCTCTCATTCTTCTCAGACGTTCCATTCTCATAATTCTTACTCGCCATATCTCCCTCACTCTTCTCCATGTTTTCTCTCTCACTTCTTCTCCCTCATACGCACGTTAATATAACCACTGGCCCCTATAACAGTACATTTGGACCAAAAAAAAATCAACACGGTTTAGAATTAGCAGAAGAATTTCAGGTCATGCCTAACTACACATGTTCACATTCATGTTGCTTTCCTCCACCTATGAAACGCACATTAATCACTCACTGATCTCTTTTTGTCCAATTATTGGAAGGGGTTACTGTTCTTTGGTGGACCATCATTACCCACGTCATCCCTGACCTCAAGTCCACCGATTGCAAATGCTCCAGTGGGTGGTTGAAAATGAAATTGTTAATGACTTAAATAAGAAACAAATTTATCCATGTAAATCAAAGAAAACAAACGAAAAAGTTAAAATGAGATTCCCTTTCTCTCAGACTGGTGGCCTGCACTATCATTGATATATACATTACTCTATAGTCATATTGCGTTGTTTCAATCTGTTTGCCTGATCTTTAGTTCATATCTGGAAAGTCGTTTCAATTTGATTTCTTTCATGTAGCAGCATATCTACTAGTCAATCTGCATAAATTTTGGTTGTTCTTTTTTCAACATTTTTACACTCAACCACTTCTATGAAATTGACAAACCTAATGAAGTGTTTTTCCCCTCTTGAGCTTTCTCCATATATGGCTTTAGCTCTAAAGTTTGGAGATGGCACGTTTTCTTCTAACTCTAACAGCAGTTTACCAACTTAGTTAGAATAAAAGGATATATTCTGGAAGATCTAAGAATAAATGGTAATAAGTTGATCAAAAGGATTCTGAAAAATGTTTCCAATATTTCACTATTCAGAACCAAATAAAAAAAGAATGGTAGGTTTGGCAAAATTCATTGGTGACCCCCACCATTGGGTGAGTGGACTTGCCAGAAGACTCCTTACGTAAAAAAGTCATCGTGATTGGTACTGAACGGTGCTGACTAAACTGTCCGGTTGCTCTTGCTCTTAATCAAAACCAAAAATTTTTCCATTCTATTTATGATTTATTTCTAATAATTAATTACTACACATGACATAAGCGGGTAACGCGTCAAACATACAATAAATATACACCAAGCTAAAGGTGATACTCAATAAACAATTCAACTCAACTCTTATAAATATAAAGTAGGTGGAACGACTTATACCTATCCAAAGTTTGCTGTAAAGGTAAAATAGTACCCAAAATGTTTGAAAATGGCAAACAGTTACATTCCGTCATATTTTATTAAGAATTTTCAGCTGCTAAAATATAAAAATAGTGAAAAGACTGGAATACCCTTAACATCTTTTTCTTCTTCTCAATGTCACACATTAGCAACCTCTACCACCAGCGTTTTGGCTACTTGTCTGGCCATTTTCCACCCAAAACCTCCTCCATCCACCCTCTTGGCCCTCCCTCATTGAACCCATCTAATCCCAACACCGATGCACCCATTAATAGCGAAAATGCGGCCATCGTTATTCCTTGTGACTACCCATATTTGAGGTCAGATTCTGGTCGATATTCACACAAAAAATCCACCATTCCACCACCATTCGAATCCCCACCATTCCCTCTTCAAAACCCAACCTCCCATCGCTCCTCCCCACTTGCCGTTTGTTGTCTAGTACTCAGTGTTTGCCTGCCCTCCAACTGTTTGTGAAAATTTCCCAACCAACCTAGCAGATTGCCACTCCTTTGTTGATGATCTTGGGCTCTTTTGGAGTTTGTTGTTGAAAATATTGTTATTGAAGTGTTGTTTGCTTGTGTGGGTTGTGTTTTTCGATCACCGTCGCTCCTCAAGTTCCCATCTTCGACATTTTCCAGCACGCACACAACGTGCTCGACAGAAGGTTGCAGTCATCGATCTCCATTCCCAATGCGCGCCAATAAGGGCCAGTGCCATTGTTTATCACCAAACTTTGCAGAAAAATGCTAAATTCGGTAAAAAAAATCGTTTGATGATGCAAGAGGATCATGCAAAGGGGCTTGGTGAGAACGGATACCGAGAAAAAGATTTAAAATTTAAAAATTTTTGGTTGTAGATGAAATTATTATCCTGTCTTTTAGCACAAAAGTCCCTAACAGAATATGACATAAAGTATTTGTTTATCATTTCTAAAACTGTGGGGATTTCAATTTATCTTTATCCCAAACTTTGAGTAGGTGGAAGTTGTTCCGCCATATAGAGTACTTATACAAAAGATTTCCCAAATAAACACAATTCCAACTGAAAACTAAAAAATGGAATTTATTCCTTCTCCTCTCAAGAAGTTATTATTCACTCCCAAATCTCTAATTCTGAAACTGCTCTGCAAAAATATTAATATCACAAAGTACCCCTGGTGACCCGGTTTTACCCTTACTTTTACGAAAGCACAAAAACACTTTTAATTCTATCATTTGTTACAATTTCAATTCATTACCATATACATATATAACACAATGCAAGTTATGTAAAATTTTACTTTCCTCAATTAAAACTTAGCTTGAACGTTTAAAAGCCTCACCCACACGTGCAACACTAAACTCCTATAAAAATAAATTCATTTAAGCTATCACAATTCATATAAAATAAACAATCCAGAACCTTAAACTCCATAAAACACCAAAATATAACTTTCCAATAAAAACAGTCCACTAATTACACTTAAATAATAAAAAAAAATATATATAAAACGCATACCTTTTGTTTTTTTAAAGAAATAAACGACACTTTCAATTATACAAAGATACAATATCTCTATTAAAAAAACAAAATTATATAATATGAGTATGTATCATACAGTCAAACTTTAAAACTCAAATGCTCAATCAAATAAAATGTATAAAATGTGTCACATTTCAATCTTATTTTAAAAAAACTTAAAAATCAATCGAGACAAAGGACAATACAAAAAAAATTCACGGCGTTACGAGGTATCCCAAATTTTTATTAATAAATTTATTACATTATTTTATGATTCACATCATGATTCCAGAAGAATATCATATAACTTTTGGGTTGCAAAGCTTGTGCATGTACTTCTATTTTAATTATAAGATTTAAGAAAGAGTAAACGAACTTTTTTCCACTCAAATAATGTCTTAATTAATGACACTTTTTCATCAATAAATTTTTAAAATACAACTTTATTACTCAAATTTATATTTTGTTTTCGATTTTGATATTGTTGCAATCGCATACCATCACCATTATTTTTCTCAATCATCGCTCACCAAAACCTCTCAAACTCTACTATTGCCGACCTTGTCAATCTCTGGCAATTGAGTGACTAGGGTTTGCATAACCGTCACTCCCAAGTCAAATTTCGATCAAATCCAACCACCAAATCCAATTTTCTACCACCAAATACAACTTTCTATCATCAAAAGACTCATCGGTCTCTCTTCTTCAAAAGCCACAATAGTTTAGACTGAGTTTGATCTCTGTTTTCCATCGGAATATAAATTTAGATAATAAATTAACATTTTAAAAGTCTGTGAGTGGAAAAGTGTCATAAAGTCATTATTTGGTTGGGAAAAAGTCATTAACTCTTTTAAGAAATAAAAACTTGTAACAATTGACTAATGTTTAGGATTGAATCTCCGATTAAGATGGTTATTTATTCTTGGTAAGAAAGTCGAGACCATGCTATCTGCAGGGGCTATAATGGAGATCACAGACTGGTCCAGTATGCAGTTAATACTTGTGGAAAAACGGGTAACCATTGGAGAAAGGAAAAGGATAACATTTTTGACTTCAAGCTATAGAATTCATTATACTGATACATAATTATTGAAAGGTTGAACTTGAATAATCTTTTGCATTCTTTTTCACCATGGAGAACTTGGTTACAAGACAAGAAGTTGATGGCAAGGGATTCTAGCTAACTTCTTTTTGTATAAGTGAACTGTTGAAACATACCGTAGGATAAGTTTTCCTCTTGAATGAATTTGTACTAATTCATGTTTTATACTGGAGGTTTTTCAGACCGCAGTTTTCCATTACCGAATTCATGTGGGGAATTAGCATCATCACTTCCTTTATACTTGTACCACCTTGCACACACTATAAAATAACCCAAATTTAAAACCCCTAATGCTGCAACTAAGTAATAGAAGTAGTCCAATCTCCCCTTGTTAAGATCATCAGGCAACCAGTCCCCAGTTGCAGCCCCATCCGTGGTTCTGTGTATTATTGATATTAATAAACCACTCAAGTAATTTGATGCAGCAAAACCAACAAATGTTAAAGACCCCCCAATACTTCTCATGTTTTCTGGAAACTGCTTGTAGTAGAACTCGACTTGGGCAATTACAGTAAATGCCTCTGAAAGTCCTGTAAGTGTCAGCTGAGGTATTAGCCACAATCCTGACAAAGAAGATATTGCACCTCTTCTTGGATCCTCACCAAGTGGCCTAGTGAGAGCCAAGGTTCTTCTCCTTTCTTCAATTTTGCCAGATAAAAGCATGGTGACTATGGCAAGAACCATACCAATACCCATCCTTCGAAGGATTGTGAGGCCACCTTCTTTTTTTGTCCACCTTTGGAGCCTTGGAACAATGATTCTGTCATAGATAGGTATCCATATAGTGAGGCTAAACATGGTGAAGATTGTGTAAGTTGCAGCTGGGATTTTGAAATTGGTATTGCCAAGGCGTCTATCAGATTGGAGGGCTTGGAAGACTACATAGGTCTGTTGTTGAATCAAAGCAACATAATACACAACAGCTGAGGCCCATATAGGAATAACTCTTATTAAGACTTTCAGTTCCTCCACTTTTTGCAGACTGCAAAGTCTCCATGGATTGGCTGCTGAACCATCCGAATTGATTTGGTCATCAGGTGTCACGATCGCAGCTTTATTGAGGAACCTGAGAACATTTCATGCCAAATTTGTTCATCTTACATCATACTAAACTTCTTTTTAAGTTTTCTTATATAAAGTATTCTAACGATCTTACATTACTCATTGCATGTCAGCTTATGGAATTTGACATAAGTTTACTCGTCTTTATGATCTGATTGTTTGCTTGCTACAAGGTTGAAAAAATATTATCTTTTCAATAGAAGTAGTAGAAGGCTAGAAGCAGTATAGGGTGATGGAAACATGTTTAATTTTTTTCTTGTTCATTTGTCTTTGTAGCCTTGCGGAGCCTGCTTAAGGTAAGGGCCCATATAATAAATAGCTACTCCCATCTTTAAAAGCCTTCTACTTTTGTACTTAACCCGGTTTTTTATTAATACTCTAGTTGAGGTTTATGCCCAGCTTTCGCACCCTTTTTATTGCACATTAAATAAGTTCCAGTACCGCTACAAATTATATTAACTTACGCAAAAGTAACCTAGTAGAGTGAAAAGTATCCTATAAAGTTGGGATTTGCAATTTAAAGAACTTATTTTCTTAACCAGAGACAACATTTTCAAGTAACTAGATAAGCAATTAGAATTGGTTACCTGAATTGTTCAGTGTAAGGAAGCTTGGAGTTGATACAATCTTTCGGAACATTGTTATAAAGGGACAACCATGGTTGATCTGTTAACTTCAGTCGCCTCTTCTTAATAGCAGCCACTATGACCTGCACTACGCTTGTCAAGGGACTGCCATCTGGTTTTATTTTCACATATATTCTTGATCCTATAAAGAACATTACACATGATAGGAACATCATAAATGCAGGAATTGCCAATCCCAAAGCCCAGCTCACATCGGATTGCACATACACAACTATTGTTAAAGATACCATCATGGCAAAAGTGTAGGTGAAGTAGAACCAGTTGAAGAAGCTGGAGGTTCCCCTCTTTCCAGATTCTGTTTTGGGATCAAATTGGTCAGCTCCAAAGGCCAAATTACATGGTCTGATTCCGCCAGCTCCAACTACTAGGAATCCTAGTCCACCAAACAGAAATGCCAATTGCCATGGTGTCGCTCCATGGCATGTTCCAGTTTGTTGATTCTCACAGGAAGGTGGGTGCAATTGTGAGATTGCTGCTGTCAACGAAAGTAAAACCATCCCCTTGAAAGAAAAAATGGAAAGTTAAGATTGAGTTTGACTCCCACAGATACATAAAAGGGACTAACTAGTTGTGTTAGTACCAGAAACGAGGCGATGGAAGCGAACCCCAGCGTCTTGTATCGACCAAAATAAGTGTCGCAGAGGAATGCTCCCAGCAAGGTTGCAAAGTTTGTTGTACCATTGAAGACATTAACGAGAGTTGTAGCTTGGATACTTTTCATGTTGAACACAGTAGTGAAATATACCAAGAGGTTGTTTGAGGTACCAGTAGTCCCCAGCTTCTCAAAAGTTTCATTTCCTGCAATTTAATATTTGTATTTGATTCATAAAGATCAGAATTAAAGAGAAAATAAGGAAAGAAAAAGCTATGAGCGAAAAAAGTCGTCTCTCTTTCTAATTACCTATAACAAAAGGCATAGCTTTCCATCCTCTGTAGTTAATCTTAGGCTCATCAGTTGCCACAGCCTCTTCATTCTTCTCCATGGTTTCTGGCAAAGAACTCTTTCTCAGTTTGCTATTAAATAGCTAAATAAGTAATCCAACTCAATCACATCCAGGCTTTATGTTTAGAGCAGAAAATAAAATAAAATAATCAAAATCAAAATCTTATCTTTCCTTAACCATATGAAAATTGAAGTTTCTGATGGATATATGTATAGAAGCACATTGTAAAGGACAAAAATAGGATGAAGTTAAAAAACAGAGAGGGTGATTACTATAGTTAAACTGATTTCCCACTAGATTTCCATTTTTTAGAAGCCCTCCACAGTCATTGGATTGCGTGCATTCATCTTAATCTGTCAGCATGGTAAAATCTTAAATGCTACAGGACTCTGAGCTCATCAAAACTCAGTAAGTCGTACAAACTACTTGGATATATATAAAAAGAAAAATGTTATCTTTACAAAGACCCATATAAAGAGGGTTATAAAGTGACATTATCCAGAAGTAAAAAACAAAAAAAAAAAGGAAATAGAGAGAAATCATGAAAATCAAAGGTGGGGATTATCTTTGTATACTCCTTTTGTATGTATCTTTGTATACCCCTTTTTTATAATTCTTTTTTTGACTTTTCATTAAACCTAGACGTGAATGAAGGTTTTGAAAGGCAAAGAAAGATTAAAAAATTCGTTTTGGAAACATCCAACTTGGTTGAACTTTGAATTATCAATTGCTTTCATCGTGTAATTCAATTTTAAAAATGGACGCTTCCATTGCTGGACCGGCTAGAATCCTTACCTAAAGTTGTAAGAAATCATCTCGGAGTTTACCTCATCTCTTAGTCCGATCATCTACAGAATTCTTCAAAAGGATACGTAATGCAATGCTTCTTCATCGAGTTTTATGACTTTCCACTGAATTTCCTAAAGAAAAATGAAATTGGAGATTTCCCATTCGTTTCTGCACATTTTGCTTGCATTCGTGAAATTTTGTTTCTTATTCTTGAAGCAAATGAATATAACAAAAATAATTATTGGGTTGGATGTGTTTATTAGCGGCCCTCGTTTAAGATAATCAGTTATTTATATCAAGGTCCACTTCATCTTCAGGAGGATATTCCCATTAAGATGACCGGATTAAATTGCTTTTCAGAATAAAAAAAGAAAACAGTTCTTAGATATAGTTTTCTATTGCACATAATCGTTAAAGTTTTAACTTTGACGATAAAATATGCAAGAAGGTGAAATAATGTTTAATTATTAGCAGTCCTTGTCTCAGAATCAAAATTCTACAGTAATATCATTCATTATCAATGGGGACAAAGCACAGGCGCAAGATAATGAACAAACCAAATCAAAGTTTGCATTATTGACTTCTCCAGTAGTATATATATGCGGCTGCGGGCCCCTAATGTAGAATGGCAGTCAAACCTCAGCCGCTACTGAGATAATATAGATGCAAGAGGGAGAACCAGAGTTTGAAACGGAAAATTTAGAATGTGATAGGGCGTGTCTTCTTGTGCTACTTCCAATGCTCGTGAAAAAATAAATTATTAAATGGTATTCCATTATTGAAGAAACGGGTCTCCTCTTAACTTCTGGGAGGCTGGGAGCTAGCTAGCTTTCACAACTACTACTAATGAATTGCGTCTTGCCTGTTTATCACTTAACTACGCATGCTGCCAAGGTTTGAAATTTGATGCCCTGCAAAAATATTTTTAATTATCTCAAACTGTAAACCAAAAATATCATCGTTTTAAATAACATTATCATTTTAAATATACTATTATTTTGTTGACCACCACTATGGTAGGTTCAAGCAATGTTCTAAAAACCAGATCAGACAATGAACCGTTCAAGGGTCCGGTTTTCGATTTGACCGGTTGGATCGGTCGGTTGGACCGTAATTTATAAAATTACATTTTAGTCTCTAAAGGTTTGAAATTCATCAAAAACACCCCTATAATACTCTCTTAAGGTTTGAAATCTATCTAAAACAACCCTGTTGCGTGAAGATTCTAGTGAGTGGTGGCGGTAGCGATGATCGACGGCCAATCGAAGCTGGAATCTTCGGGCTTTTGATGTGTAGGTGCTGCCGACTCTGATGGTGGTGCTAGGGAGTTCCATTGTCGTCAGAACTCGCCGGAATCAACAAAAGAAATCCGACGTCGCGTGAACTTTAGGTGGACGACAATCGACATAGGTTGGACGACAGCGACTGAAAATGGATGGGTTTGGTCGTGGAGATGTCGTCCGTCGAATGGGACCGTGTTTTCTCCGTCAAAAGATGCCGGAATCCGGCAGGGTTTAGCTGCTATTGGATCGCGATTCGGCACTATTCTGGCGGTCCAATTCGGTTTAAATCAAAATGGCAGTTTTTTATATATACCGGATCAGATTTGCCGCCGGTTGCCGGTCGAACCAGTCCGACTGGGCTGTCTAGTCCAGTTTTCAAAACATTGGGTTCAAGTGAAAAGTTGCATACAATAGTGTTGAAGTGACGACCGAAACGATGCAGTTTTGGAGATTAATAAAACGCTGCGTTTTTTGTATTAATTTGTGTTGGATCTTGGTCATTGATCCAACTCTGATCTGACGGCTGAGATGCAATATTGAGTTATAAAAGGGCAATGTATAATCATTATTCACTCACGCATTTTGTCTTTGTTGAAGAACATTGCATTCTCATTTTTATCTCTGTTAGGGTTTCAGTTGATTTGGGGAAATCTTTGTAACTTGGGTTGATTGGGTAATTTGTTAGTCAATCAAGAGGGCTCTTTGCTCTTGTTCTTAGGGATTCCTGATGAGTGTCTCTAAGATTAGTTACGGTGTGGATTTCTTGTAATCATTGAGAGTTTGATCAGGTTTATAGTTGTTCTTGCTTGGATCTTGATCTAATAAATAGTGCAACGAGCTCTCCCATTCTTAGAGCTCAACGTGGACGTAGCTTATCCAAATTTGGATAAGTGAACCACGATAAATCTGTGTTGTAGTTGTTCTTGATTTTCTTGTGGTTTGTGTGTTTTTGTTAATTAGTTACAAGAAGTAGCTGTAGAGTTGAATGTTGATTATGTGTGACATTATCTGGATAATATGACAACAAGATGTGTTTATCATATTATCTTGTCCATCACTTGAAATACGTAAAATAAAACTACCAAAAAGTGGAAAGTACTAACATTAGGCTGTTTTCAAATGATTTAATCTACTTTCTGTATAAAGCTTCCAAGTTTACAAAACTACCTTCCAAAAATTAAGCACATTTACTGCTTTTTAAGTCGCTTGAGGAACCATCAAGCACCTAAAATATTGAGATATATGTTACCTATTCTTGTTAAGGTCATGACCACCCAACCATGGTGAATTCTCATTTTTCTTAGTAGCATTGTCGATGATATTGACAAGAAAGGCGTTTATGTATCTTGCTATACGGATAAAGCTGAGAAAGAAGGCTGCCATGCGACAGTCCTCATGCTCTCTGGCAAATGAACCATGTATCAAAACTGAGTCATGGCGCAATTTCTTAACAAGTCCAGCTACAATCATGCACATTCTTGATTCTTTGCTGTAATGTCAGCCTTTTTATACTTGCTGTCCATTTTTTTTTTCCCCACTTGAAATTATATGGAAAGTGCAATCATTGGTGTAAGATTCATCCAGGCTGGTAGCATTTTAAAATGTGGTCCGAAGGATTTGTTTATCTGAATTGCTTGAAGGATCTCTAATGTATTATGTTGGTCCATAGCTTCCGGCCATTTTTGGGCAGAGTAATACTATGTGCACTATCCAATTTGTACTAATCCAAGTACTAACAGTTAAAATTTTAAAATTTCTTTTTTAGTTTTTTGGAAGAACTGACTTGATAATAAGAGAGGTCTATCACGTTAGTTAATACTTGGATTGTATGGTTTTTGGTTAGTGCACATATCATTATTCTTTTGGGCATGCCTTAGTCTTAAAACAACTCACTTCGTTTTGTGATTATAGCAGCCTTATCAAGGAACTTGAACATATTTGCGCGCTTGAGCTTTATCATCTGTGTCTCTGTGACACAGATACTCGCAATCTGGCTCAACACTAAGGGGGTGTTTGTCCGAGCTTATGAAAATTAGCTTATAAGCAACAAGTGCTTATAAACATTTGAAATTTTCAATTACGTGTTCGGTTAAAGTATTTATAAGTGATTGATAAGTAATTGACGTGTTTGGTAAAATGTGGCTTATAAATACATTTTATTATAAAATGACTAAAAATAATATTACATTAAACAAGAGTATACTATGTAATTTTAAAATTAAACAAGGATAATATGGTAATATACTTGGTCAAACTAGCTTATAAGCAGAGTATTTATTAAAAAAAAAAAAAAAAGTACCTACCCCCAACTTTTTTTTTTTTTTTTTNTAGAATGAGTGCATTTTACTTCATTCTTTGCCTGTCTTCTTCAAATTTGAATTGCTTTCTCTCAATCAACAATTCATAATGATAAACTCTTTTCTTAGCCAGCTTTCTTTTATTTCTCATTTACAATTTACAAATGGTTCCAAACTTAGACCTCATCCTCCTTGCATTTCTACATGGTTCCCTCATTGCTTTTGTTCTTCTTCTGCTCGTCTTACTCATCGTCATTCTCATGTCAGTAGCATTCTCTCTATCCCTCTTGTCAATTATCGCTATCGATCTATCCACAGTTTATTCGACCTATTCTCCGTATTTTGAGACAGTAGAGGCCGATCTTGAGCTGGGTTTTTTTCTATTTCTTTGCATGATACTGCGTTATGCCATTGATATTGTTTCGGCTTCACAATCCTGGCTCCAACGTGTAGTACCCGAATTCAAAGAAAAGGGCAGACACGTCATAACCCGCATGAATGCTGAGCTTCTCAAGGCTCGAAGATAATGAACTGAAGTTCTTAAGATTTAAACCTTGCTTAACATTTGCTGATGATGCAGTTACTCGGTGATTGCAGGGCCCTGGATTGTTTAACTCGGTGATTGCAGGGCCCTGGATTGTTTAACAACTTTGGTCTCCATTGTATTATAATACAAATTACAATACCGTTTGTTAATTGCCTTTGATTATTTTATTTTTTAGTTTCAAGAGGTGGCTATTGAGAGGAAGAATATGAGTGAATATGAGGAGCAGGATGTGTACAATTCTCCACCGGCCAAATGTAAATTCCTCATATTAAGTCATATACACCCATCTGATTTTAACTCCATTAGACCATCTCCAACACAAACATCAAATGAACGTATTTTTGGTATATTTTACTATTACATCTTCAATCTATTGTGCCAAATATTATATTAAAAATAATATTTTTTTAAATATTCTCTTTCTTTTTCTTTTTATGTAATAATCAACGATTAATCTATTTCACTCATTATTTATATATATATTAATTAAATATTGAGAATGATATTTTTATTAAATAATAATTAT